GACATCCCTCTCTCCAGAATCTGAAGTGCCAAGTTTTCAGTCTTAGTTGTGTGTCGTCTTTGTCTTGTGAAGCTTGTCAACTTAGTAAGTATCACTGCGTGTCATTTCAGTCCAGAGTCAATAATCGTGTGTCTAGTTCATTTAAGTTGGTACATTCTGATGTATGAGGTCCAATAAAGAATATTTCATCTAATAAATATCCTTATTTTGTGGATGACTATTCTCGTGTGACTTAGTTGTTTTTGATGAAAACTCGGTCTGAATTATTCTCTATATTTGAGACCTTTCGTAAGGAAATAAAAATTCAGTATGGTTGTCGTATATGTATTTTACGTTCTGATAATGCTCGGAAATATGAATCTGATCATTTTTCAGCTTATCTTAGTAAAACTGACATTATTCATCAGACTTCCTGTGCTTACACATCTCTACAGAACGGTGTTGCTGAACGCAAAAATCGTCATTTATTGGAAGTCACTTGTGCCTTGTTATTCTAGATGAATATTTCTTGATATTTTTGGAGTGATGTTGTAGTTACTGCTTGTCACCTTATTATTCGTATGCCATCCTCTGTGTTAAATGAGCAAAGTTCATATTCTGTCTTTTTTTTAGTAAGCCCTTATTTTTATTAACTCTTAAGGTTTTTGGATGTGTTTGTCATGTTCACAATTTGGGTCCTAGTTTGATAAACTTGATCCTCGAGCTATCAAATCTGTATTTCTTGGTTATTTTCACACACAGAAGTGATATCGTTGCCACAGTCCTTCTCTGCGGCGATATTTTACTAGTGCCAATGTCACATTTGAGGAATTTGTTTCATATTTTTCAGCACCTTCTCAGCTTTTGGATTTGGACTTTGGGTCACCTTTTGTACTACCATCTCTTCCCAAATCTTCAGATATTCCGCTTTGGATTTGGACTTTGGGTCACTTCTTGTACCACCATCTTTTTCCTCATCTTCAGATATTTCGCTGCCTATTGTGTTACCATCTACTTTACCTCTTCGTGTATACTCTCGTCGTCCTCGATCATCGACTGAGGTTTCCGTACCGTCTTCCTCGTCGTTTTTTGATCCTTGTCCATCAGGTAATTTAGACTCTTTACCTATTGCTCTTCGAAAAGGTACTCGTTCTTGTGTTACTAATCATCCCATTGCTCATTTTGTTTCATATGATGCCTTATCTTCTCTTTTCTCTTGTTTTACCTCTCAATTATCTACTATATCTATCCCTAAGCATTTACAGGATGCATTATTTGATCCGGGTTGGAGGAAAGCTATGGAGGATGAGATGGATGCCTTACATCATAATGAGACTTGAGATCTTGTTTCTTTATCCCTTGGTAAACGAACTGTTGGTTGTCATTGGGTGTATACTATTAAATTTCATCCGGATGGTTCTGTGGAGCGTCTCAAAGCCCGGCTTGTTGCAAAGGACTTTACTCAGACCTATGATGTTGATTATGAGGAGACTTTCTCTCCTATTGCCAAAATTTCTTCTGTTCATATCTTGATTTTTTTGGTTGGTAATCTTGATTGACCCTTGTTTCAGTTAGACGTCAAAAATGCCTTCCTCCATGGTGACTTGGTTGAAGAGGTATACATGGAGCAGCCACTTGGGTTTACTACTCAGGGGAAGTATGGTAAGAGTGTATGTCGGTTAAATAAATCTTTGTATGGTTTGAAGCAGTCACCGAGGGCATAGTTTGGTAGGTTTTCAGATGTAGTTTTAGAGTTTGGTCTTCTTCGATGCCAGACAGACCATTCTGTGTTCCATAGGCAGACGGATGTTGGATATGTTCTATTAATGGTCTATGTAGATGATATTGTAATTACTGAAAATGATTCTGAGGGGATTGCTAAGTTAAAAATCTTCTTGCAAGATCGATTTTATACTAAGGATTTGGGAAAACTAAGGTATTTCTTGGGAATTGAAGTGGCTCAATCTAAATAGGGTATTTGTTTGTCAAAGAGGAAATATGTACTTGACATGCTAGAGGAAGCAGGTTTGTTGGGTGGCAGGCCGATTGATGTTCCTATGGATCCGAATCAGAAATTATTGATGGATGATGGTGCACTGTTTGAGAATTCGGATCGGTATCGAAGATTGGTTGGGAAGCTTAATTATCTCACTATTACTCGATCGGATGTTTCTTATGTAGTCAGTATAGTAAGTCAATTCATGAGGTGTCCTAGAGTATCACATTGGGAGGCAGTTACTCGTATACTACGATATCTTGAACGAGCTCCTGGACTTGGACTGTCATATCGAGCTAATGGGCTTAGAGCAGAAGGTTTCTCAGATGCTGATTGGGTTAGCTCTCTTTCTGATCAGAGATCAACTACTGGTTATTGTACTTTCTTAGGAGGTAACGTTATCTCATAGAAAAGTAAGAAACAATTTGTGGTAGCAAGATCCAGTGCTGAGGCTGAGTATAGGGCAATGACACATATGACCAGTGAGTTGATTTGGCCACTGCACTTTCTCCAGGAAATTGGGTTTCCAGTTCAACCTGCTTTACAGTTGTTCTGTGACAATCAGACAGTTATCCATATCGCTGTCAATCCGGTATTTCACGAGAAAACAAACATATTGAAGTTGATTGTCGCTTTATTCGGGACAAGATAGTAGCTGGGGAGATTACGACTCCATTTGTGAAATCTGAAGATCAGCTTGTAGATATGCTTACCAAAGTATTGAGTCCTACACGTCTTACAGAGATTTGTTCCAAGTTTGGATTATATGATATATATAGTCCAACTTGAGGGAAAATGTAAAGAGTATTAGGGTAGTATATATAATTTGTTAATAGTGTTAGGGTATTATGTGTAAATACAAGAGGGTGCGTATGTGTAATTCTTGTTATGAGTTACCTATAAATACAAGTGATGTATGAGGGCTAGGTTAAGTTTTGACTTATCTATGTTTCTTTCTAATATTGTGTTACTCCTCTACACTTAACAATAAGCAATAAAAAATTTATATTTTTAAATACTTTTATCAGCTGCATGCAAGTGTTTATGCAGTTGGATCTTCCATCTTTTGCCAATCATGGACTTGTATTTTCTCAAATTTTTAATTGAATGTTGTATGACTAATTTAGCCATGTCCATTGCCTCATAGACGATTGATAAAGTCAAATTTTTGTCTTGATCCACTATCTTTTAGACTCTAATAAGAGGCTCCATGATGGATTGAACTTCTCTAGCCTCCTTCCAAAATTGGTCCGCTAATATAAGGTTTGAGACTTTATCTCTTGCACTTCTCTTCTTGTCTTTGTTGAAATCACGCAATTATTGGTGGTGCACATTTTTTTCAAGTCCGATTCATAAGAGATAAGACTTTTAATGGCAATGAATTCAGTTACAAATAGTGTTATACTTGGCCTCAATAAAGCTCAATCTTTTGTATGTTGTTTCATTAAGTTAATCACTTTGACACTGTTGTAAATAAAGAATGTGATCATCTTTGCATCATCTGTGGTCTCTTTGATTGTTTTCATATGACTAATATCTTCTAGCATCAATTCGATGCAATGGGTTACGCAAGGAGACCAAAATAGATGCGTCCTTTTCTCCAACAATATTTTGTCGGTTGCCTTAAAGTTTGTCTCATTGTCAGTTACTATCTATACTATATTTTCTTCCCCAACTTCATAAACAACTTTATCTATAAGGGGAAAAATATAGTCAGAAGTTTTTGATATGTTGGTAGTATCAATTGAAGTATGGTAAATCATGTTGCGGTCACGATAAATCATGAAATTGATAATGAGCTCCTTTGTTCTAGAACTCCACCCATCAGACATGATTGTATAACCATATTGAGACCATTTTATCTTCATTGAGTAATATACACTTCAAGCTCTTGAACCTCTTCCAAATAAGAGCTACCAATTTGATATCTTGTAGGGCCCTTTATTCTTGGGCCTGTATCCGCAATATTGTCAATCATTGACTGATAACAAGGCCCACTATCAGGTACATTAAATGGTATTGCATTGAAGAGGAAGAACTTCAAAATGACTTTTTCCATTTTTTAGATTCTCATCTGAGAATAGGCCTTTTATTGACTTTTGTTTGGACGGTTATATGTACTGATCGATGCCATTTATAGGCAGGCCAACACCTTCTTTTACACTATAGCTACGTGATGATCCACACTTGATTTTTGAGCTAGATGATTGTGATGGTCCAATACCAAAAAAAAAAAAAAAAATTCCTTAGTGGGACAACTGCTTTCATTTGATACACAATGTCTACGACTATCTTCTTCTATCTTAGCCATTTGACTACTTTTTTTCATTATTAGCTTTAATTGTCTTCTTTCAAAATTATTTGCAGCACTCTCTTCAATTTGATTTTCACCATCATCATTATTTAGGTTGTAAAGATTTTCATTTCGCAATGATTATATGATTCGTTCTTTTTTCCTCTATACGACAACCATTTCTTTACTACAATCAGTGAGATGTTGTCTCAAAAGTTGTGACACTTCTTTTGGTACACATGGACTTTCTTCTACTTGGTTGGATACATGTGCAATATGCTGCTTCATTCGAGTAATACCGCTATGAACTATTTTTTCACAATAATTGTATTTTACAATTCTTCAATCACTACCGACAGGTGTTGCGTCTTCCCAACCGATATCATGTTGTTTAGAAGCCATTTTATAATGTAAAAATTCAAAATAATTAAATAACATATTTTCATTGATTTAAAAATTCCAAAATTATATAGTTCTATTTATCTTTCTTCTAATTTAGTATTTGATTTATAATTTTTTTGAGTATTAAAAGACAATACTTCAAATATTTATTCTATAAATAAGTAATTTGAATATAAATCTAATGTAATTGTAACATTTAGTTTTTTTTTTAGTGCTATGGAGGGAACATCAGTAGTACCCTAATAAAACTAGAACTAGACATGTCTGCCCTTAGCAAATGTACAATACAAGCAGGTTGTTTATCAAGAATAACTAAATCAAAAGACTGATTCATGCCCAAGTTCGCATGGCCATCAACACATTGATTTCCCTCTCCGAGTGGATATACCATAGAAATGTTGAGGGAGTTGATAATGAACTTGCAATTGTCCACAGGACATTGAAAGGGTGGCTAGCTGATTGGGTTCCAACCAGCAGATTGCAAGCTTTTAAGGAGTCAGTCTTCAAGATGAAGTTCCCACTCCTATCCAAATTTAGTTGTAGACCGTTGTTGGATGGTCCAGAGTTCTGCTTTAAGACTTGTGGTGTGATTAATTTTGCCAATAAAGCCCTTGATCCATTTCCCTCTATCATCCCTAAGAATGCCTCCAATATCAGCTGGGCTTGGGTTGCCTTTGGAGCTTCCATCAGTGTTAATCTTGTAGTATCCTGCAGGTGGAAAAACCCAATTAATTAGTCTACCTGAAGCATGGAACTTCTCAGCCTGCCTATTATCAAAAGCTTCAGTGATCTCTTTGGCAAGTGAGATGGAAGTTTTAGCAGTATAGGAAGCTTCAGTTGTAAAACCATCAAAACACTCCTTGTTTATGTCTTTCCATATATTCCAGATGATGGCCATGAAAAGGTGTGGCCAATTAATATTATTCCAAATGGTCGTACTTACAGAAAAGCAAAATTTTTCAAACCATTGGGGGAGAGTTAAGGTTGTTTCATTCTGTCTCTCCTGTGGAGTAAGAAAGTAGCTCCAGATTCTGAGTTTTACTACGTTCTCTTAAAATATGAATGGTTGTCTCAATATAGCTTTTACACCTAATGCAAGTAAGATCATCTGTCATGCATCTGTCAGCTCTAAGTTTATTAGAAGAGATTCTATCATGTAGGCCTAGCCAAAGAAAAAACTCTAACTTTTGGGAAATTTCCTTTTCCCAAATCTGTTTCCATTTCTTATCGACAACAGCATAGGAGGTATTATCAGTAAGGAAATTATAATAGCCTTTGGATGAGAACTTTCCATTTGCTACATTTCTCCAAGAAATAGAATCTACATGATGACTGAATTGTGGCGGTGGAGTGAATAAGATTTCTTAGACAATAGTAGGATGAAGAATCATGAAGTTAGCCACCTTAACATCAGTATCTATCTTTGGTTGAGGGTTCAGTTGTTGCAGAAGTGTTTTGTCTCCAACCCACCAATCTTTCCAGAAGTTAATACTTTGTCCATCACCCACAATCCATTTTATATCCGCTTCTAAAGGAGAACAAACTTTCAAAATCCCATTCCAAATGGGGGATGCATTAGCCTTCTTTTTCCAAGGGTCAGAGTTTACAGTAATGTCCTTACTTTTCATAACTTCAACCCGTAAGGATTTTTTATTATCTAACCTAAGTTCCCAACCTAATTTTGCCGAGGAGCACAGAAATATTATTTCTGCCCTTCCTTAATTTGGGAGTACACACTTTATCCCAATTTAACAAATGTAAAGGTGCTCTGTACTAAGCAAGAGAATCTGAGTACATTGTATCAGGGTTAAGGTCTCCACCTGGGCTAGGTTTACACAACTCTAGTTTATTACCTTGGAAATTGATCTTTGACTGTGTAGCCTTTGGATGATTCTTGAGACCCAAGGTTTCATAATGGCCTTCCGAGATCTCTGCTGTGATGAACCTCAAGCCAAGGAATGGTTCTTGTCCGCCTTTACCCATTTCTTATTAGTTCCTCTTTGGTCCTCTTGGGGCCAGATTCTCTTGTTTGCATTACTGGATCCTGGGATAGGAGGGTTTTGGCCCTGATGCAAAAGGATACTGTCTGTGGAGTATACCTCTTGAGCTTGGGCCTCTTTTTCTAGGGCCTGATACCTATTATTAGGTCTGAGTTTGCTTGCATTAGGGGTGACTGTCTTTGTAATGGGCCTTCTGCGTTTAGGTTGGGCTGGTATCCACGGGCCATAGGCCTGATCCTCCAAATTGTTATCAACCATGAGTGGGTCCAGTGGGCTTAGTGCAGCTTCTGGGTTGGGTGTTGAAATTAGATTTTCTGAGTTAGTTGTTAATGATTGGATCTGATCTGAAACAGCTCTCATCTTCCCTTTTTCGGCTGCCTCTGATGGGTTAGACCTTGGCACATGGGGGCAATGATTGCCGGAATTGCCTATTCTTCCACAAGCAAAGCAAATGGAATGAATACATTTATATTCTACCCTAAAAAGGTGAGATCCCAGCCTGTAGTGGGAGATAAGTGGTTGATCCATGTCTTTCTATACAAACCCTAGCGAATTTACCTCTTTCAGTTGTGGCCGTTTTGATATCAACCTTGACTGGGTTTCCTAGAGCTTTAGCTATCTTAAAGGTCGTTTTCTCCTCGTAGTATTTTACTGATAACTCCAGTAGTCTAACTCAAAGCTGTTGAGATGTGTTTGGCCCTAGAGGGTATGAAGTTGGGTTCCCAACGCCTGACTGTAAGGTAATGATTCATAATTATCCAAGGTCCCCCAGTGGAGGGTTTATGCAGATCTTCCAGAAGGTGAAAGTTACAGAGGAAAAACCCATAATCTAGATCTACAATATCCACTTCTCCTTGTAGACACCAGATATTCTCGACTCTTGTGCATAGCATTTTATACCCAATTGATTTCCCCAGTAATTTGACTATTAGGCTTTTTTCCATTTTCTCCTGATCTTCTGAATCATTTTTTGCAATAGCTTATCTTGGGACAGCTCTCATCCGAGTTATCTATGACTATTTTATCCTCCATATTCAAGTCTTTCCCAGAGTCATGCTCTGCTTCTTCATCTTATGAGATATCATACATCACTAGGTCGAAGTAAATAGATTTATTATCCTCCATTGAAGCAGCTTTGTAGTTCATCTCTCTTGATCGATCGGTCGATGAACTCATTGAATCCTTCTAAATGACCTTGTCAGATTCTGGAATCACACATTGAGGATCCAGATTCATCTCTTCAGTAGGTTGATCATGATTTTCTTTAATCGTCTTTGTGCTTCTCTTGAGGTGATCATCCTCATCCACCGATCGTCTGAGAGAACTCATGGGATCTGCATCCATTTTGATGGAATTGTAATTCATTGAGGGCTAGTAGTAACTTTGAGTGATCGTTTCATACTCTCCCTTCCCCTGAATTTCTGAGAGAGAATTTCCAGAGAGCTAAAGAAGCAAATTTTCAAAATTTTGCAAAATTATTAGAATTCAAAAAACAAAGCAACTTTTTCTAACCCCACGAATTAACATTTAGTTTTAAATAATCTGAAATAGAGCATATATCTAGTTATTACATTAAATAAAAAAAATATTGATTTTTTTTATTTCTAAAATATTAATTTATGTAATTATTACATTAAATATTTTAATGATTTATGAAAGAGTAAATTTAATCCAAATAAACTTTGGTAAAAAGTAAACCCAAAAATTAATTACCCATAAAAAATAAATTAACTACACTAAAACATAATCAATTATTCACAATTACTCATTGAGACTTTTTTTTTGACAGAAAAATAGACGAACAAAGTATTTACCAAAAAAAAAATAGAAGAACAGTCTTTAAAGATTCTTTTGCTTCCTTTAGACGCTTTGTGCATCTCAAACAAGAGAGTGTAAACCACTGGCAGAGAGAAAGAGAGACACGCTGATTCCTGAGAGGGAGTAAAACATCGGCGATTCTGTGCCTATCGTAACTGGTTCGTTGATCGCAACAAAGGAGAAGAACAGAGGAAGAAGAAAAAGTAATGATGAAGATGAAGTAAGGAAGAATCTCTGTGATTTGTATTCGGTTCGATCTACACTCTATTGGCATATCGTGAATCCTTGTGGTCTTCCTCACTTTTATAGTTGCAAAAGACGGGTGAACCTACAAATTTTCATTTGATTTCTAGCATCTAGGTTTAATTTCCATATGAGTTTCTGAATTTGTGGCGGTGGGTCTTTGATTCTTTACTTTCGTTCCTATCCTTTTTTTGTTTGGATTTTTGTTCAGTTTTTCGCAACTGATGGATGGATTTTTAGGCTTTTAGAGTTGTTGGTCTTTAGACCCTTTCCTTTTACGTAGGATTTTTGCTCTTTGTCCTAGATTTTGGTGGATTTTTTATCAGAACAATTTTGATACAAATCATCCGAGTTATATCGACTACCGAGTTCTTCTCATTTATGCTGATATCTATGAGTTTGACAGAGATATCGTATATACTTTTCCAACTCGCAATTTTTGTGTTGTGTGTACTGTTATTGTATTAAGAGTGGTTGAGTCAAATACGACTCGGTCGATACCTAGAACCATGGCTGTTATGTTTTGTGTACTGTCATGCTAGTTTTTCGCACTTGTTGCTTAGAATAATATCTTGGTCAAACTCGTAGGTATTGACATAAATTGGAGGACCTTGGTATAGCTCGGATGATTCGTATTAGAATCGTTTCGATACAATCTAATCTAGTGAAAAATCTCCAACATTTGGGACAAAGAGCAAAAATCCAAAGCAAAAGGGAAAGGGTCCAAAGAACCACATCTATAAAAGCATAAAAATCCCTCAATTGGTCGCGAAAAATTAGACAAAAAATCCAAACAAAAAACAGAAGGATGGGAAAGAAAGTAAAGAATCAAAGACCTACTTTCACAAATTCAAAAACCCATATGAAAATTAATCCTAGATGGTAGAAATCACATGAAAATTTGTAGGTTCACCCCTTTTTTGCAATTATAAAAGCGAAGAAGACTGTAAGAATTCACCACATCCCTGTAGAGTATAGATCTAACCGAATACAAATCAGATTCTTCGCTGCTTCATCTTCATCATCTCTTTTTCTTCTTCCACTGTTCTTCCATTTTTCTTCTCCTTTTCTGCGGTTCTACAAACTGATCACAATAAGCTGAGAATCATTGGTGATTTACTCCCTTTCAAGTCTCCGCGTCTCTCTCTTTTTCTCTGGCAATGGTTTACTCTCTCTCGTTTGAGACGCACAAAGTGTTTGAAGGAAGCAAACAAGTCTTTAAAGACTTTGTTCTTATATTTTTTTTTGGTAAATACTCTATTCCTTCATTTTTTTTGTCAAAAAAAAAAATTCTTCACGAGTAATTGTGGGTAATTGATTATGTTTTAGTGTCATTAAGTTATTTTTTATAGGTAATTGATTTTTGAGTTCACTTTTTACTAAAGCTTATTTTGGATTAAATTTACTCTTTCATAAATTATTAAAATATTTAATGTAATAATTATATACATTAATATTTTACAAAAATAGAAAAGATCATTATTTTTTTTAATTTAATGTAATAATTAGATATATGTTCTGTTTCAAGATTATATAAAACTAAATGTTACAATTACATTAAATTTATATTCAAATTAATAAATATTTGAAGTATTGTCTTTTAATAATCAAAAAAATTATAAATCAAATACTAAATTAGAAGACAAATAAATAGAACTACATATTTATGGAATTTTTAAATCAATGAAATACTTATTTAATTATTTTGAAATTTTAAATTATAGAATGTTTCCTAAACAACACGATATTGGTTGGGAACACGTAACACCACCGATTGAAGAATTGTTAGTGCAATTATTGTGAAAAAATAGTTTATAGTAGTATTTACTCGAATGAAACAACATTGCACGTGTATCCGACAAAGTGGAAGGATATCCAAGTGCACTAAAAAGAAGTGTCACAACTTTTGAGACATCATCTCAGTTAGAAAATTGAAGAAGGTGCTACAAATGATTTTGAAAGAAGACAGTTAAAATAGGCCATGAAGAAAAAGCCATCAAATGGCTTGGATGGAGGAAGATAGTTTTGTATCAAATGCAAGCGATCAATCCACTGAAGGTTATTTTTTTGGTACTGGACCATCATAACCATCTGGCTCAGGAATCAAGCGCGGACCACCACGCATCTGGCGAGTGTCGCATGCCACTTTTAGGTTAGTTCGATACTGGCTCAAAAGAATAAAAAGAAGAAGAAGAAAAAGAGGAAAAGAGGCTTCCCGCTATTTGCTGGCTCAAATTAATTTGGTGACTAGGGTTAGTTTACACACACACACACATATATATATATATATAATTTTGATCTAATTTTTGATCAAATTGCATTAATCCAATAGCCTGTAATAGTTTAAAACAAAAAATTAAAAAGTTGGCTAAGGCGATCAGTTATTCGCTTTCTTTGCTTCTTCGCCTTTGCTTGCTTTTCTCTCGCCTCACCTACGTTCGCTTTGCCTGGCATGCACAAGGCGACATAGGGTTGCCTCGCTTTGTTTCTTGCCTAGGCGAGTGCCTAGGCTTGCTTTTCACAACGTTGGTTGCAACTGTCCCCGGTGTTTTGAAAAAAATGAGCAAGGTTTCCTGTGTTACTTTGGACAAGTGTTGGTAAAGAAGTTAGTTGATGATACTATAAACTTTGGTTAGTAACTTGTAATATAGGAACATTAATCGGGAAAGAATGAAGTTAGTTGAAACAATGAGTAGAAAAAAATTAATATAAAATGCTTAGACGAAACTAATTAGGTAAGGGCTAAGGTGAGTGAAGTAGAAATTGCAGGCTATAATCTTTTGTATGTTGGAAAAGATATATGTAGAGACGGAGTAGCCATAATAGTAGATGTGCATCTTAAGCAAGAGGTTGATGTTTCGAGGAGAGAATATAGAATAATATTAATTGAAACTTATAATAAGAGAAAGTATAATTGATATTATTTGAACTTTGCACCTCGCATAGGATTAGATGGATACATTAAAATCCAATTTTGTGAGGATAATGATGAAGCAATGAGAGTAATGCCTATAAGAGAAAGAGTATACGTAGGAGGAGACTTTAATGACCACAAATGAAAAGTTCGAGCTAGATATAAGAGGGTACATAGTGACATGGATTTGGTGATAGAAATGATGTTGGAGATTTTGTTTTAGATTTGCTATTACATATGATTTTATCGTAGCAAATATTCATAAAGAGGCATGAACGTTTAATAACTTCTAAACTAGATTAAATAAAGCTAAATACATTTTGTTCTAACTAAGAGACTGGATCGTAGATCATGTAAGAACCGTAAGGTTATTCCACAATATTGGATAATAGTGCTAGATGTATTAATTAAAAATCATTCGAGACCTAAAAAAGAGATTAAAAGTCCAAGAATTAGGTTTGTGAAATTTGAAAGGTGGAAATAGATTTGTTTAAGAATAAAAAGAAGCACCATGGAATTTAGAAGATGAAACAAATATAATGTGGAACGATGTTAGAACATATTAAAAAAATCTATAGAGATTCTTGGAGAATTAAGAGGTAATGGGCCATTGGCGAGAGAGACTTGGTGGTGGAATGATGAGGTCTAAATTGGATAAAAGCAAAAAAAGAATATTATAAAACTTGACAAAAAGTTAGCAACAATGAGAACTTTAGAAGTTATAAGCTTGCAAATAAAGAAGTAAAAAGGAGGGTAGAAGAAGCTAAGCACAAAATATATAATGATCTTCACTCTAAAGTAGACACAAAGGATTGAGAGAAAAGTATGTATAAACTTGCTAAATTAAGTGAAAGAACAATTAGAGACTTTAATCATACTAAGTGTATTAAGATGTAAAATTTCATGATATGACTTTATGACTTTTGACTCTTGCGCGTTTCGAGATATATATGTAAAATGCAATTTTTATGTTGGATTGGATTGATTTTAGATTAGATTGGTATATATTCATTTCCAAATCCGGTTATAATAACTCAAACGAATTGGAATCTGATCAACGGATATAGAATTCAATCCATATTCAACTAAACGGATTCAGATCGGATTTTGTCAAAATTCAATCCATTGATAAGTCTACTTACATTAGGATTTTGGTTCGAGTACATATCTTTTTGCCTTATATGTAAATTGACTAAACACATTCAATATGAACTTCCATGGTGCATGTTATTTACCCATGATATAGTATTAATTGAAAAAAACTGAGAATAAATTAGTAGCAAAACTAGAAACTTGGTGAGAGGTTCAAGAATAAAAAAGATTTAAGATAAGTAGAATTAAAACTAAATAAATAGAACATAAGTTTAGTAAAAAGTGGAATTCAAATAGGGAAGCAATAAATAGATACCAAATAGTGAATACTTTTGATTTTTGGGGCCAAGTATCCATAGGCAATGTGATACTGGTTGCGATGTTGCTAATAGAATTAAAGGAGGATGAACTAATTAGAGGAATACATTTGGATTATTGTGTGATAGACGCATACCCTTTAAGTTAAAAGAAAAGATCTATTGAACAACCATAAGACCATCTATGCTTTATGATATTAAATGTTGGATAACTAATAAGCAACACGTTCAAAAATTGAGTGTGTTGTAAATGAGAATGAGAATATGGATGTGTGGTAGACTAGGAAAGATAGATTTTGGGACAAGAATATCTGTGAAAAAGTAGGGGTAGCGCATATAGGAGATAAATCAAGAGATATCGACTTAGGTGGTTTGGACATATTTACAGATGGCCTACTATGGCGCCAGTAGGAAAGAATGATGCAATATCTCGTAATCGAAGATGTAGAGGAAGATCAGAATGAACTTTAGATGAAATAGTATATGAAAACTTATGGTTTAAAAAAAAATATGACCCTTAATAGAATACAATAACAAAACAGGATTCATGTGACTGACTCCAAAAATGTTGGGACAACACTTTGTTGAGTTGAGTTGAGTTATTGAGTCACAACTTATAAAAACTGTGAAGTTGGCCTTGTTATTTTTTTGGGCTGGTCGATGATTTTGCTTTCATCCTTGTGGACTGATGTGGGTTAAAAACACATATGCATGTTCTTGGTGTTGTTCCATTAGAAATTGATGTATGTATAGAATTTCTCAATCGTGGTGAATTTGGTGGATAGATAGATGGATATGTTTTAAGGATGTTTTCACACTTTACTACCTTTGACTTCTATGTTGTCATCTTTTCTCTTCTTCTGACCCTCTTTTATCGTCTTTCCTTTTATTCTAAGTATCTTTTATTTTCACTGGTCAGAATGCTATCAGCTTGACGGACAGCGTACATGCTGTGAAGTGAGTTATTCAGAACTACTTTTGAGTTCTTTACTTTCCTTCTTTATTGGGCTGGTCTTTAGTGGTGGCTGTGAATTAAGCTGTGTGCTGTGGATTTAAACCAGCCAAACATCTGTCTGTATCATGGTTTACTTCACAGTTGTTTCAGTGGGTTCTCTCTCTCTCTCTCCCTCGCTGATTATATTTGGATTTGTAAGTCTAACTACTGTTGTGGTAGGGAGTTTTCCATAACCAGTATGACTGGAGCATACAGACGGGTGTTTCAGAAACCTAAGGACTATGACTGGTTATGTCTGGCATCTTGTCGCTTCATATCTCTCATTTGCGCAATTTTTAGTTGGAAATTGTAAAATAACTACAAAGAATAATAATTTTTCCTTTTACTACAGGGAACTGCTTACATATACGGATGGAAGTATACAACTGGCGCAGACAGATATGGACATCATTGCCAAGTCAAGATCTGCAACCATGGCCAGAGAGGGGGGTGCAGCTAATAGAAATGAGGAGGAAATTCTTCCAGTTAGTTGTGAGGCAGGAAGCCTTGAAAATAATACAATTCTTTCAGCAGAAAATAATGAAGCAAAATGTAAAAGAGAAGTGGGCTCTCATAGGGCTCTCAAGTTGGGTTTTACTCTCCCGGCTTCTTGCTACGCAACTATGGCCATAAGAGAGCTGCTGAAAATATCAACTTCTGTATGTATCTCATCTGTAGCCTTCTTTTGTTTGTTATTTTACTAATTTTCATGGAAGCTTAATACTCCAGCCGCTGTAAAAAAAAGAAGAAGCCCATTTTAAAGTAGATCCTCGTTGAGGATTTTTGTCAATGCCTTTATCCAGATGGGATATTTAGTGCACATGCCGGCTTGCACATGTAACAAAAGAGAACACAAAGAAGCTGGTGGCATATGAACTGGGGATGGCAATGAGGCTGCTAACTGGTTGCAGATGCTAACCCTGAGTTGGCTTGTGATGGACCAATATTGGCTCTGCTGATCTAAAGACACAAGTAACGGTCGTGTGAGGTCTAGTCTTAATTAGTAGATAAGACCTGGTTAGCAGTGCAAGCTTGAAGCATGGGCTTGCATTTACCACTATTTAGAAGAAAAAAGTACACGCCCCCTAATGTGCAAACTAAATTTCACGCCTAGCACGTGAATTTTTTTAATTACCAGGGTGAAGGCGATATTCGAATACAAAACCGCTTGCTTTGGTATAATATTAAACCACCATCTTGTATAAAAGCTTAAACTACTAGAGAAGGTATAACTTAAGTTTTATATTTTGTTAAGAATATTAGGGTATTATTCGTAAATATTAGAGGGTGTATACGTCTTTTGTATTATTATAAGTTAACTATAAATACAAGTGGTTTGTGAGAGGTAGGTTAAGTTTTGACCACTCTCCGTTTCTCTCTAATATTGTGTTAATTCTCACAACTTAACATGGTATTAGAGTTAAACAATTCTAAATCCAAATATTAACTCAAGTCATCGTCGTTGTGCCTACTGTCGAAAACCCTCGTCTGGGGGTGGTGGTAGTAGCTGGTTGGGTGAGGCGTCGTCGACTGTTGTGGTCGATGTTGGTGGCTTTTGGTTCTGCTTTGTGATGGTGTGGCTGACATTTGTGGTTACTAGTCATCGACATCGGTGACTTAGTCTGGTGGTGGTGGTGGTAGTCGCTAGACATTGTCATCGTCGATTGGTGTGGTCGACGTTGGTGGTTTCTCTTGGCGTCGTTGACAGTAAATGTAGAATTAGGGTTGGTTGGTGAAGAAGACAACCCACTCGAATTGGGTCGGTTGCGGGTTTGGGTGACAAATCCAAATCCATGTTCGAGCCCAGCCCAAATCCAGATTTAGACTTGGATTCGGACCCAGATCCAGGAGACTTAGCCTAGATCCAATAGCTTTTAGACTAGACCGGTCCAAGTCCGATTCAACCCCGATTCAGTCCCAGTTCAGTAAGGTTTACACTGGTTCAGACCAGTTCAGTAAAGAGATAAAAACTTAGTATGGTTATCGTATACGTATATTACATTCTGATAATGCTTGGAAATATGAATCTGATCCTTTTTCAGCTTATCTTAGTAAAATTGACATTATTCCTCAGACTTCTTCTTCTTACACCTATCTACAGAATGGTGTTACTGAATGTAAGAACCGTCATTTGTTGGAAGTTGTGCATTGTTGTTCCAGATGAATATTTCTCAATGTTTTTTGGAGTGATGTTTTCACTACTTGTCCTCTTATTAATCGAATGTTATCCTCTGTGTTAAATGGACAAAGTTCATATTTTGTTCTTTTCCCTGGCAAGTCCTTATTTTCCTCGACTCCTAAGGTGTTTGGGTGTGTCTATTATGTTTACAACTTGGGCCTTGAGTTTGATAAATTTGACCATCGGGCTACCAAATGTGTATTTTTTGGATACTCCCACACACAGAAGGGGTATTGTTGTAGTCCTTCCTTGTAACGATACTTTACAAGTGTCGATGTCACGTTTGACGAATTTGTTCCATATTTTCTGGCTGTTGCTCAGCTTTTAGATCTAAACTTTGGGTCGTCTCTTGTACCACCATTTCTTCCCTCACCGTCAGATATTCCGCTGCATACTGTGTTACTGTCTACTTTACCCTTTCGTGTATACTTTCGTCGTCCTCGCCCATTGACTGAGATGCTTGTACCGTCTTCCTTGTCGTCTGCTAATCCTCTTACATCAGGTAATTTAGACTCTTTATTTATTGCTCTTCGAAAAGGTACTCGTTCGTGTGTTACTAATCATCCCATTGCTCATTTTGTTTCATATAATGCCTTATCTCCTGTCTTCTCTTGTTTTACCTCTCAATTATCTACTATCTCGATTTCTAAGCACTTATAGGATGTGTTATTTGATCCGAGTTGGAGGAAAGTTATGGAGGAAGAGATGGATGCCTTACATCATAATGGATTTTGGGACCTCGTTCCTTTACCTCTTGGTAAACGAATTGTTGGTTATTGTTGGGTGTATACTGTTAAATTTCATCTGGATGGTTCTGTGCAGCGTCTCAAAGTCCAGCTTGTTGCAAAAGGCTTTACTCAGACCTATGATGTTAATTATGAGGAGACTCTCTCTCCTGTTGCCAAAAATTTTTATGTGTGTATCTTGATTTCTTTGACTGTTAATCTTGAATGGTCCTTGTTTCAGTTAGATGTCAAGAATATCTTTCTACATGGTGACTTGGTTGAATAGGTATACATGGAGCAGCTACCTGAGTTTATTGCTTAGTTGGAGTACGGTAAAATTTTATGTCGGTTAAAAAAATTTTTGTATGGTTTGAAGCAGTCATCGAGGGCATAGTTTGGTAAATTTTTAGATGCAGTTTTAGAGTTTGATCTTTTTTGATGTCAGACAAATCATTATGTGACGGATGTCGGATATGTTCTATTGGTAGTCTATGTAGATGATATTGTAATTACTAGAAATAATTATAAGGGGATTTCTAAGTTAAAAATCTTCCAGTAAGACCACTTCATACCAAGTATTTGCGAAAACTCAGGTATTTTTTGAGTATTGAGGTGACTCGATCTAAACAGAGTATTTATTTATCCCAGAAGAAATATGTACTTGACATGCTAGAAGAAGCAGGTTTGCTGGGTGACAGACCGATTGATGTTCTTATGAATCCGAATTAGAAACTGTTGATGGATAATGGTGCACTGTTTGAGAATTCCGGTCGGTATCGAAGATTAGTTGGGAAGCCCAATTATCTTACTATTACTCGACCGAATATTCTTATGCAGTCAGTATAGTAAGTCAGTTTATGGGTGTCCTAGAGTACCACATTGGGAGGCAGTTACTCATATTCTACGATATCTTAAAAGTGTTCCTGATCTTGGATTGTTATATTGAGCTAATGGATATCTTAGAGTGGAAGGTTTTTCAGATGCTGATTGGGCTGACTCTCTTTCTGATTGGAGATCAATCACTAGTTATTGTACTTTCTTAGGAAGTAATGTTGTTTCATGAAAAAAATAAGAAACAACCCGTAGTAGTGAGATCCAGTGATGAGGCTGAGTATAGGGCAATGACGCATATGGCGAGTGAGTTGACTTGGCTACTACACTTTCTGTAGGAAATTGGATTTTCAGTTCAACCTTCTTTACAGTTGTTCTATGACAACCGGGCAGCTATCCATATCGCTATCAATCCAGTGTTTCGTGAGAGAACCAAACATATTGAGTTTGATTGTAATTTTATTTGAGATAAAATAGTAGTTGGAAAGATTACGACTCAATTTTTAAAATCTGAAGATTAGTTTGCAGAGATGTTTACCAAAGTATTGAGTCGTTCATGTCTTACAACAATTTGTTCCAAGTTTGAATTATATGATATACATAGTCCAGTTTGAGAGGGAGTGTTAAGAGTATTAGGGTATTATGAGTAAATATTAGATGGTGTATACGTCTTTTGTATTATTATAAGTTAACTATAAATACAAGTGGTTTGTGAGAGGTAGATTAAGTTTTGGCCACTCTCCGTTTCTTTCTAATATTGTGTTAATTCTCACAACTTAACATACTTCAATAGTCTAACTGTAGAGTCAGCTCAAACATAAGGCTACTTTGAAACCCCTTACCTAACATTATTTGCTAATGATTTTTCCTGATGACTGTGTTGCTACCCTTCTTTTAAGTGACGTGGAAATCATCAAAGCATCAATGGTCTTGTATACATATTTAGGAAAATGCTATACATACTTGATAAAATAAACTACCATTTTAAACTCATTGATGTGACAACGTAGTTGTCCTGTGATGCCATTCTTAGTTGGTCCAATTTCATATACCCAAGTTTTATTATTGTATGGCACGTTTGAGTGTAAAATTGTCAGTTCGTATAGCATTATCATATATTTAAGTAACAACTTAGAATTCTTATGCTCTGCAGGTTGCATTTCACAAAACATTAAACCACTAAGCTTGGTACTTGTAGAAGTTTGAGGAGTGCACGTGATGCCAATGCCTTGGGGGAAATGGTTCATAGATCAAGAAGGAATGCTGGACAAAAAGGTTTACAATTCCCCTTTATACTTCAAAGTGCTGTTGAGGTTGGGATTTATGTTTTGTACATTATTGCTGTGTTGAGGTTGGGATTTACATTTTGTACACTACCGTTATGTTGAGGTTGATTGTAATTTCTTGAGCTTTGGGAAGTCCAAGTCAACTGACAGAAATGTAACAATATCCAATCTAATCTTTGGTCAAACTCGGTTCAAACTCAAACTCAAACTCGAACCCAAACTCAAATAGAAACCCAAATCAAACCAACCCACCTTTTTTTCTTTCTCAAAACCTTTCTTCTGGTCTGCCCCCTCCTTGTCAGCGACCCCCACCTGACGATTCCTTCCCAATCGACCACCCCCACCCCACCAAAACTGAACGCCCAAAACCCTCGTTGAGCTTCCCTTTCTCGCAGGGTTGTCTTCTCGGACAACTATTTGGGTGTGGTTGATTGTAATTTGACCTTCTAGTTCTCAAACCACTGTGAGCAGAGCATTTTACATGCAAACATCAGACGTAGTCTCTGGTTATTTCCTGTAAAATATATTGCTTCTTTGTTTTTTCATTCACAGGTGAACGATAAAAATCGTTTGTGTACATTTGCAGGTTGCATTTCCTAACATGTAAAGGCACCGAGCTTGTTGCTTCTGGGATCCACTACACGACAAGGGCTTGTCCGGAAGGAAAATTTATGAATCGAAAAGGGTGTAGGCAAGCGCGGTTAAGATTTTATCTTAAATACTTTTGTTGTAACATTTAAGTTCGGAGTGAACTGTTAAAAACCTTGGCAGGTTTTCCGCTTTTGACTACTTGAATGATGAGTCTGTCACGAGTGAACCCTTAAAATATACAATGTGGTCTGGATTTGGATCCTCAATCATATCATTACATTTAGGCATGTTTGCTGTGTGTATAAC